AGTTTGAGGTAGATACCTTTAAAAATAAAGTTAAAATAAAAAATAACATTTTTCTAGTAAATTAATCTAAGTTTATGGGGAGATAATTCTTGCAATATTGGTGCTAGAGTTATGAACCTTGTCACATAAGATGTGTATGATGATAACGTAAATATATTTGAAGTATGAAGTTGATCCCCTTAGAAATAAATAAGTTAGAGTAAAAAATAATATTTTTTATGGAAAATTCTAAGTTCAAAGGGAGATAAATCTGAAAATATTGGTGCTAGAGTTATGAACCTTGTCACATAAGATGGGGATGATGATAACATAAATATATTTGAAGTATGAGGTTGATACCTTAAGAAATAAAGAAGAAATAGTATTTTTTGAGGAAAATTTTAAGTTCAAGGGGAGATAAATCTGAAAATATTGGTGCTAGAGTTATGAACCTTGTCACATAAGGTGGGGATGATGATAAGGTACATATATTTGAAGTATGAGGTTGATCCCTTAAGAAATAAAGAAGTATCAGTAAAAAATAGTATTTTTTAAGGAAAATTCTAAGTTCAAGGGCAGATAAATCTGAAAATATTTGTGCTAGAGTTATGAACCTTGTCACATAAGATGGGGATGATGATAAGGTACATATATTTGAAGTATGAGGTTGATCCCTTAAGAAATAAAGAAGTAACAGTAAAAAATAGTATTTTTTAAGGAAAATTCTAAGTTCAAGGGGAGATAAATCTGAAAATATTGGTGCTAGAGTTATGAACCTTGTCACATAAGATGTGGTTGATGATAAGGAACATATATTTGAAGTTTGAAGTTGATACCTTAAGAAATGACAAAGTTATAGTGAAAAATATTTTACTGCACCAAAACTTTAATCTAAAATCTGGACGCGGACGCCGACGCCGGGGCGAGTAGGACAGCTCTCCATATACTTCGTATAGTCGAGCTAAAAATAGTATTTTTTAAGGAAAATTCTAAGTTCAAGGGGAGATAAATCTGAAAATATTGGTGCTAGAGTTATGAACCTTGTCACATAAGATGTGGTTGATGATAAGGAACATATATTTGAAGTTTGAAGTTGATACCTTAAGAAATGACAAAGTTATAGTGAAAAATATTTTACTGCACCAAAACTTTAATCTAAAATCTGGACGCGGACGCCGACGCCGGGGCGAGTAGGACAGCTCTCCATATACTTCGTATAGTCAAGCTAAAAATGTGACCACTAGAGTGTAAACAAGGATTTTCCATATAATTATTTGAGCAGTGTGACCTAGTTTTTGACCCCAGGTGACCCATATTCAAACTTGACCTAGAAATCATCAAAACAAACCTGAAAGAACCAATTTCCAGGATATTTAGATCAAAACAGTAGCCACTAGAGTTTTAACAAGATTTTTCTATTTTTAGCTCATGTGACCTAGTTTTTCATCTGAGATGACCCATGTTCGTACTCAACCAAAGAATAAACAAGACAAGCATCCTGACAAAGTCTGATGATGATTGGGTCAATCATTTAACCACTAGAATGTTAACAAGGTTTTTTTTAGTTTTTGCTCCTGTGACCTAGTTTTTCATCCAAGATGACCAATGTTCGAACTCATCCGAGCTATAACCTAGACAAGCATCCTGAAAAAGCTTGATGATGATTGAGGCAAAATGTGTCCGCTAGAGTGTTAACAAACAAATGTGGATGGATGACGGACGACGGACATTTAACTATTTCTAAAGCTCACCCTGAGCTAGCTCAGATGAGCTTTAAAGGGCAACAACTCCAAAATTAGATAAGGCAGAGTAACAGTTCTTTTGCAATGAAATTCTGCTCAACCTACAAAGATTCTAGTTAATACCTTCTGTGGTTTCAGAGTTATGTCTCAGACAAAGTGAATGAATGAACAAAAGGCAATAACTCCAAAATTAAGCAAGGCAGAAATATGGTTCTTTTGCATTGCACTTCTACCAAACGAGAACTATCTACCTGCAATAATTCTTGTTGATATCTCTTATAGTTTGCTTGGGCAAAGTTCACAGAAGTACTTACGAAATGGTTCTTATGTGAGTTTCCTTTGATCGTTTTAGCCATTTTTAATCATACAAGGCCAAAAAAGACACACAAGTAAAACAGAATGAATAGGATCAAAGACAATGTACTATCACTCATTGTTCTCAAAGTCACACAAGTACCTCTGGATTTTTACAGAAAAAGTGACAAATATATGCTTTCCCCTCTGGGAGCATAAAATATCATTAACAAACAAAAGCTGAATAAAGAAATGTTTAGACATCTCACACCTTGATGCACTGAGCCCTAATTCAATCAAAAGGAAAAATACCATGCAGGTTATTTTCCATACCATATGAATAAAAGCTGCATGACCATTGAATGTATCTACCTAACAAATATGGACGATATCATTAAATAAAATAAGGAGAAATTTAAGATAAATGATAAATCCAACTTGCCACAATATTTTAAGCACCATTGACCCCAAAGTCCTTCTAAAGTTAGTACTTAACAATAGAATATGGAAAATATATGTTGATAAATTATTTGAATGGGTGAAAAAGGATGGATGCCACAGTTATACAAGTGCAAGTTTGTAAGGTATGAAGCCACATGTGCAGATAAAACTTATCAATCTTACAGGAATACCTATTTTCAAGGTGCAAAAAATCGAAATAACTAAAGAAATTAGGAAAATATGTTAGTATAACTTTCCAAAATCATGGACTTTGTTGTGGAATGTGATTATGCAAATTTTGGAAGCAATACTTAAGATGATTTTACTTTTAATTGCCATTTAAACCTAACCTAGTACAAATGGACGGACAAATGGTGTTAAACACTTTATGCCCAGTAGTATAACAAATGACTTCAAGAAACAAGAGGGTCCTTGGTCACCTAAGTCATGGGTGTATGCCTGTATTTTAAAGTTTGTGAAGACACACATTCTTTAGTTTCAATTGATCTGGGTAAAATGTTTTCTCAGTTTTACAAAGGTTTCGCCAAGATCTGATCAGGTGACTTAGTTTCTGAACCTATATGACATACATGTAGTTTCAAATCTACACTAGGTCTTGTTGGGATATATATGTGTTGACAAATTTCTTTTGGAATCGGGTAAAAGCGTCGCAAAAAGAGTATGTCACAATATTTTTTGGCCAATGTGTAAAACTGTACACGAATAACAAAAAGAAAGAACATGAAAATATCATGATAAACAAGAAACATGACAATGCTGTGAAAACCAGGTTTTCAATTATCACCATTGACAACTAAATACAAGCAACTTACAAACAAACAGATAATGGACAACAGACAAACGGTGTCACAAAAGCTCATTTTGGCAATCTGTGACAGGTGAGCTAAAAATCAATAAGCCCCCTGGTGGGAACCTTTTTCATCCTAAAGGCATTATTTGAACAATCTTTGAAGACGACCTCTAGATCATTTTACACACCAAATATCAAGGCTGAACACCTTGTGGATTTAGACACGAATTTTTTTTTAAGATTTCCCTATATAGCCTATATAAAACTGAGGAGCCCCTGGCAGGGCCGCTTTTCACTCTAAGGTCATTTTATGAACAATCTTTGTAGAGAACCACTAGATAATGTTACATACCAAATATGAAAGCTTTTGGCCTTGTGGTTTTAGACAAAAAGATTTTTAATATTTTTTTAATCAATAAAAAGACCCTTGACTGGGCCCCTTTTCATCCTAGGGGCATCGGAGGGAGGTAGTCAAGTACTGGTGTAACTCTCCAGGAACGATGGTTAGGAAACTACCCGTCTATATGACTGAAATACTGTTGGGAAAAGGCGTAAAATAAAACAAACAAACAAGTCCAAGGGGCATAATCTGAACAATCTTTGTAGAGGACCACTAGCTCATGTTACATACCAAACATAAAGGCTATACACCTTGTGGATTTTACAAGAAGATTTTTCCCTATATAAATTTATATAATAAAACTGATGAGCCCACTGGCAGGGCCCCTCCCTGGCAGGTCCCCTTTTAATCCTAGGAGCATAATTTGAACAATCAATCTTTGTAGAGGACCACTAGATCATGTAACATACCAAATATCAAGGCTCTATGCCTTGTAGATTTCGACAAGAAGATTTTCCCTAATTAAGTTTATATAAAACTGATGAGCCAGCTGACACAGCCCCTTTTGATCAAAGGGGCATAATTGGAACAATCTTTGTAGAGGACCACTTGAACATGTTACATACAAAATATCAAGGCTCTTTGCCTTGTGGCTTTTAACAAGAACATTTTCCTATGTAAATTTATATAAAACTGAAAGCCCCTTTTGACCCTAGAGTCATTCTCTGAACAATCTCTATAGAGGACCACTAGATGATGTTACATACCATATATCAAAGAGGATTTTGAAAAAAAAAATCAAAAAGACCCCTGGTGGGCCCCTTTTCATTCTATGGGCATAATGTGAACAATCTTTGTAGAGGACCACTTAATCATGTTATATATCAAATAGCAAGGCTCTATTCTATGCCTTGTGGATTTTGACAAGAAGATCTTCCCTATATAATTTATATAAACTGAAGACACCCCCCCCCCCCCTGGCAGTGCCCCTTTGATCCTTTGGGCATAATTCAAACAATTTTTGAAGTGGACCACTAGATCATGTAACATACCAAATATCAAAGCTCCACACCTTGTGGATTTTAAGATTTAGTTTAAAAAAAAAACTCTTTATATTGGCAAGCAGAGTTCTTCAAGGAATTTATTTTGTTTTATAAGCTTTGGTAGAGGTTCATGCAAGGAACACACCTGTCAAGTTTCATTAAATTTGGCCAAGCAGTATGGAGAAGTCATTTGAATGAAAAAGTTAACACACAAACAGACAGACTGACGGACAACAGACTACAGACAGCACAATGTCACAAAAGCCAACCTTATCACTTTGTGTCAGATCAGCTAAAAAATATTTAATGTAATATAAACATACATTGTACATGATCAATATAATACTGACCTTCAAAATCATTCAGTTCTTTTGCAAGAAAGGACAGTCCAATTTGTGGGTCTACCAATGCATTCTTCAAATTGTCTATCCAGTCTGGTCTTTTAATAAGACGGTCAAACAGAATACCGGCAGCATGTATGGCTCCCCACTGAATTTGCTGTGCTTTCACAACTTCCTGTCAGATCACACAATAAAAAAATAGGAAAGTAACAAAAAAATAATAAATAAAAAAACAATTGCACCGCATGTGGTGTTAATATTTGTCTGTTAAAGATTCTAAGTTAAAAAGGGACATCAATCCAAAAATATTGCTTTCAGAATTCTGCCTCATGTTACTGCAGCAAGTGTGCCTGAGGGTCATGATTAATATAATTTTTGTAGAAATCAACAAATTTATGCTACATGCCAAATATCTAAGCTCTGGGCTTATAAGATTTGAATGTGTTTTCTTGCCATTAAGTGACTCGAGAGGTCAATTTTGACCCAAGAGCAATAATGTTAAATATTTTAGCTCTTCAATGGCATTGTAATAAGACTGAAATGTATTTTTCTCATACAAGACTAAATCAACTAAGTGACCCCAATGGTCAACATTGACTTTACGGGCATGATTTATGCTAGTTTTGATGAGGCCAAATAGACAACATTATACATACCAAAAATTTAAACTCATAGGCATTGTAGCTTTAACAAATTAGGGTTTAAATGTGTTTTCCTATATAAAAATATGTTAATTTTTGTAGAAATCTACAAAGTGATGTTACATGCCAAATATCTAAGCTCTGGGCATCATAGTTTCACACAATATGTTTTAGATGTGTTTTTCCTATACCGGTATAATTATCAAAGTCTATATAAATAAAGAGACAAGAGCAAGGCAAATATTGAACCAATGAGCATGATTCATGTCAGTTTTGTAAAGGTCAATAATGCAATGCTACATGCTAAATATCTAAGCTATAGACAATTGCAGTTCACAAAATAAAACTTATAACTGTATTTTCCTATATAAGTCTATATAAATAATGTTATCCCCGGAGAGAAGGGGGGGGGGGGGGCAAATTTTGATCTCAGTTGTGGAGGCTGCTGCAACTGAATGCGGCTTTGATATTCTTCCCCATCCCCCATATTCTTCGGACTTGGCCCCCTTCTGACGTCATGGTTGACATTTTGGAAGCAATGAAGTTGTCATGGAGGCTGTCAATGAGTTCTTTGAGGTCCAACAAAGAGAGTTATATTTTGAAGGGTTAAACAATTTGGAGCACAGGTGGCAAAGTGCATTGATGTAGATGGCGATAATATTGCAAAGTAAGACCATAAGTTGGCTTCAGCTGACTACCGGAAATACATTGGGCCGAGAACTTGTTGATCAATTCTTGTTTATGCAAAAAAAAATTTCAGGTGTATAAAAAGGCAAACATGCAACAACAGGCCAAATCTATTTCACAAAAGCTGGCACATTAAGGTGATAAAAAATTTATGTTGAGTAAAATACAAACCTTATCAACATCTTCAAGGCATGACAGAAAATCTGCAAGAAGAGACGGGTTATCCACATTGTTGATGAATTCTGGTCTAAACTTATTTGTTGCACGGTTAATGAAATCATCTGCCAATGTTTTCGGCTCACTTTCTGGTGGCATGGTTGAATTTTCTTCAATAACAGGTCTGTTGTTGTTTTATCTGATTTAAAAAAAAAATACATTCTGAAATGGATTTACATTGATTTTAAACTAGATCTTTGTTGGAAAAAAAAAAAAACAAGAATAAATGTTTTTTGTTTTTTTTGTTTTTTTTTTTCAAAGTGTAAATTGATATATTATAATTATATCAATGTCAGCACAAATTAACAAATCATGAAGATACTGGGTCTAAAAGCCCTTAGCGAATGAGTATATAAATAATATAACATTTAACAACTGTCACTGTCACAGACATTTAAAGGAGAAATAAGCTTTAACAACAAAAAAATATCTAATTTCTTTTCATAATCTTAATCAGAGTGTCTATTCTAGGATTCGTAAAAAAAAGTGGGGATTTTTATCGAAAAGTGAGAATTTATGTACATTAAATGATCTTATTTCCTTCTATCTCTTTATAAAATTTTACCCCTGCCTCTGAAAAAATGGGAGGGGGGCCTCAAAAAAATAGTGAACCCCCCCATCCCCCCTCCTAGAATGGACACTGCTTAATATAGTTGATAAAGTTAATTCTCAAGAGAGTTGTAACATAATTAAAATGTCTCTGTTATTTAACCCTTTCCCCCATGAGCATATTGTGAAAAATGGCCGTTTTCACTGAAAAGCCTCCTGTTACAAGTTCAAACTGCTATGAAACTATGAAAAATGCTTCAATACTAATCAAACTTGGCACAAATGTTCACTGGACCATTGCTCTTGTAACGACATGCTCAGTCTTAAATTTTCTGTTACCATGGCAACGAGGGGACATCTCAAAATTGCCAAAAATCACTATTTTGCCTCGATTTTTTCCATCAAAATTTATTTTAAAGTGCTGCCAACTGCTCAAGGGATTGAGATAGAGTCAAAGGCTTTACAGCGTTGGTTAAACGTTACATTATGATCGAATCTGGGGTCATTTTAGCCTCTCACAAGTCCAAAATTTTTTTTGGTGATGAGGGGGACTCCGCCCCTTCAAACCCGGGGCCTTTACCAAAAAGGGGGCACATCCCCCTTCTGGGCAACCCCTGATGTATCTTTTGGATGGGGCGGCGCCAAAAAAAGTGCTCAATTTTTTTAGCAACATTTTTCTTCAAACAAAAACTTATGTTTGGGGCCCAAATAGGACATTTTTTCACTATTTGAGGCCTAAAAAAAGGGGAGGGGGTCGAAAGTGCGTTGTTTCACGTACATGTATATATGTGGTAAAGGGTTAAATATACACTATGCTCAAATTTCATATTAGAAATGCAGGGTTTTAATTTTCACAGGATTTTACGAACATGACCCATACCTATCAAAGTGCGAATTTCAGTGCTGTTTAGTAAAAAATTGAGAAAAATTGCACAACTTAAATTTTGTAGTCATTAAATGAATGCAAAGAATAACTGTCTAGAAAGGCATCTGCAAACATTTAAACACTATAACTGTAAAGAGGCCCTTATACCTTCAAAGATATTAGAATCTGTTATTCATTATGATTTTTATTTTCTAACTTTCAATTGGGAACTTTGTCCTTTGAATATGACCAAATATCAGCTTTAAAATAGGGCAAAAAAACACCTGAAATGCTACATAAGTATCTTTGTAAATATAAAATTAACATGTTTGACTTCACACAAAGTAGATATTGTTCTGTTTAAAATTTTACAAACTAAAGGTGGTCACAAAATAAATTTATACTGACATGTTTTTTTAGAAAAGATAAACTTTACTTGACCTTTAAAAAGGGAACACAGCTTCCCATGTATATTCATTTTTTTTATTTAAATAAGACATATTCTGTAATAATTTCAAAGATTTCAATAAATTTCTGAGATTTAAATATTTTATTTTATATAAGGATGAGCATAGAATATCTTTAAAACAAACGTGTATAAATATTGTATGTATCTAAAAAAGAAATAAAATGTTCCAGAACAAAATATTATGCTCTACTCATATTAATTGTTGTATTTTTAGAAGGGTTTCAGCTGTTTAGTTATGAGTTTATTCAAATTTCCAAGTTCTAAGGCATTTCTATAATACATTTACTTAGCATTTTGGAAGTACCCAAGTTGTATAAAATATTCAATGAATAAGTTTGGCAGAAGATATATAGCTTTATACACTAAAAATTTAAATTACACAAATTATCCTAAATGATAATGTGGATGATGATGTAAGAAGCAAAAGATGAAAGTTTGAAGATGTCATTAACAAAATAAAATAGAGTAAAATTAGGGCAGCTTGTGTGACTATTCTCCATGCTTAATAGTACTACATCATCATCAGAGCTCTGATAAGGTACAATGTAGGAATTAAAGTGATATTCTGCCCACCAAAGGATAAATAGTGAGTAAACAGGTGGAAGTCAAAATAAGTTTACATTTTGTCATGATTAATACCTTTTCATTTAATAATTTACTTTGCATAAACAATACATAATGCAAGGATCCAAGCAAAATTTCTGTAAATATCCATTAGAATTTACCTGTAACCTTCAGATTATAAAAAGAGTTGGACAGTTTTTTTTTTATTCTTTGGCAGATTTAAATTTTATCCTAGCCATTTTTCAATATCAACTGTTTGTTAAACAGTCAATTTTAACAGTCAAACTTTTGAAATATAAAGACAATTCAGCTGAACTTGACTGTAAAAATATGAGCATAATGTCACTTTAACAAAGCAATTTCACATAATAGTCTAGGTATAGTGACCAGGAAATTTGTAAGTTAATAATGGGTGATAAAATTTTGTCAAAATCTAAGTCAGAGTTATGGTTCTTGGAAGTGACCTTTTATAAGAGTCAGTAAGACAAAGTGATGAACTCATTAATTCATACAATAAAATTATCAATAGTTTTTTAAAGATTGATGGTGCATTCAAAACTTTAGTCAGGAATTTTGTACATTCATCAAGGGCCATAAATCACTAAATTCCTTGTTAGAACTAATTGGGCCTTGGACTGTGACCTCCAATTATGATCTTGAAAACATGTACATGTTTGTAAGTTCCAAGTGAAACACTTTTAGCTGTATTGGAAATGATATTGGACTCACAACTTTCAACAGGAGTTTTCACAGTGTCAAAAAAAAGTCAGTCCATGTGATAGTTATGGGCCTTCAATCGAAAGATTTCTATAATGACTCTGAAGATGTCACGTGTATACTAAGTTTAAAGTGAATACCTTCAGTAGTTTTAAATACTGATGTTTTACACAAAACTTTGACCAGAATTTTCCTTAGCTCACAAAGGGCCATAAGTCAAAATCTGTGCTAGACTTATAGGCCTTGGACTATAACCCACAATTTTGATTTTATAGATTAGACATGTGTTAAGTCACAAGCGAATAGAAAAGTTGTCACATTATCCTTATATACTCAGGACAGCTTAAACTTCTTATTACTGTTTTATATGAAATTCAATTTTCACAGGTAAGTAATTCTTGAATTATTGGTAAGTACTTTTTGAATTATTAGTGCTAAAGTCTTGAGTTATGGACCCTGTCATGTGTTCATATTTGATGTAGTTATTCAGTGATCCCTTTAATGAGATACATTACAACATACAGGTAATAACAATTCGGAACCATTTGGTACAGTGTTGGACTGTGAATCTGGCCACCATGGTATTGAATCCAAATGGTGCTGGTCACTTCTTCAAGAATTTATCATGAAACTAATAATGGCAAACTGCTTGACAGCCAGTTGAGTTCCCTTGAACAAAGAGGTGCCTGAACTTTGCTCTGGTCAATTTAATGTGACTTCCTGTCATGATATGCAGGGTAAACTACCAACACCACCACTACAATTGCCACACAAACTATTTCATCAACAGTTTTTAAAAAAAAATATATGGTCATGGTGGAGATGTTGACTCTCTAAATGTAAATTTACATATTTGATTCTGATGATGAATAGGAACAAAAATGTATCCTGATTTGTATCGGAGGAATTTCTTACATTTACTTTGAGAGAAAAATGGATACATCCTATAGATCTAGATACATGTAGTGTTTAGCCATGGAAAGTAATATTTAATTTGATGATCAAGTTCAAACCATATAAGTGTTTGGTGCGTTGTTTGGACACTAACCCCCCCCCCCACCCCCTTACCCACTTTACAACCCTCCTACCTCTAGTCTAAAAAAATATTAGAATAGTTTTATGAGTTTTCAATACAGAACACCTCTCAATACCATGTAAACTGCAGTATTTTTTTTTATTTGAAACATGTTTTTAATATTGGTATATGCTTTTGATTCAGTTTATTTCAACCCCCCCCCCCAAAATGATACAATGATACAAATATATTTACTGCATATATATGTATCCATTTTTTATTTTTAGTTGGAAATGAAGGAAATTGAATTAAAGGCATACCAAATATTAAAACATGTTTCAAATGAGAAAATACTGCAGTTGAGGTAGGAGAGTTGTAGAGTGGGTGGGGTGGCGGGGGGTATATCTAGTGACCAATCGAAACGAATTACAGTCAACCCGGCCCCAAGTCAGCCCGGCCCCAAATTGGTCAACCCGGCCCCAAACCAATTTTATTTCTGGTCAACCCGGCCCCATTTTTTTTATATTTATTTTGCTTTAAAATGTAAACACTGATCAAGTAATAAGATAAAAATTAACAACAAAAACAAAAGTTTAATGATGATATCTTTTATCATTTATTTTATATAAAAACTATCAATATCAAATATCAATATCAACAAAAAAGCAACTTGTATATTATATAGTTCAACAATGTTCCTGACACACCCCTACAATGTTCATCACATATAAACACTTCACTCGTCGTCTTCCTCTGCCTCGCGTCTACCTAGTATCGGCCTGTACATGGTGGACACAAGCTTCAACAGGGCGGTTGCGGATAGCTCTTTCGATCGATATCTGTGAAAACAAAACAAAAAGTTATAGATAGTTATCAGTGTAACTAGTTTAAATTGGTACTAAACGATAAATTATTAATGTTTCTTTCAAATATTAGCAAAAAAATGGTACATGACTCAAGTTAATTTCTTTAATTATTGTTCGAACCTTCAAATTACCATTTTTATTAAATTCAGAAATGAAATTGTCGTATTATCTCATACAAAAAATAAGTATTACCTATCCCAGGCACTGAAGATTTTCGACTGCATTGAGCGGTACGTTGCTCTCTGCAGTCTTCGTAGCTTCATTTCCGATACTAGGCGTATCTGGGCCTCAACCTCAAGTGCCTCTTTGTGCAGTAATCTCACCAAAGTGTAGAAAGGAGGAGATAATTTAATAAGTATATTCCAATACTTTTTTCCAAATAAATATTCTTTGAAAATAAGTTAATAAAAAACGAAACAAATATTAATTATAATAATGAACGTATTCAATAAAAACATTCAAATGAATTGAAAAAATATTGTTGGAAACTATATCTATACAAACCTTTTAACTCGAAATTCTATGCATTTCTTCCTAATTATCGCATTAACACTCACGAAACCATCTTTAATTTACATCGAATAAAGACATGAAAGATACTACCAACTTATAGTTATACCTTTTTTGTTAATTGATTGCTTTAAACTGTTTGATTATCACATCTGAATTAATGTTGATGTACATATAATTGTTGATGTTATAAATTATAATAATTCATCAATATTGCGTATAAAAGACTTAATCGGCGCAATTAAATTTACCGACACGTTTTGTTACTATTGTTCTATAGTTAATAATCTTCAATTAATAATAAATCATTTTTATTCCATCATACAACAAAATGACTTAAAAAGTTTTCTTTGAAAAATATATATTTTGGGGCCGGAATGACCAATTTTGGGGCCGCACTGACCAATTTTGGGGCCGGGTTGACCAAATAAAAATACCGTGGGGCCGGATTGACCAATTTTGGGGCCGGATTGACCAATTATGGGGCCGGATTGACTTAGGGCCGGGTTGACTTGGGGCCGGGTTGACTTGTACCGATCGAAACGCCGAACACCTATGGTTCACACATAGATTTACACATAATATTAAATCATTTACAAGCAATGTGGCGTCAGATAAGATTAAACTTGGCTTAATTCCAGATGGATCCATCGTGTTAATTAATTTCGTGACATGCTACTTTCGGTTTCAAATTGGGTATTAAAGAGACTTTTAACAGTTAAAATATCATGGAGCTAAATGCAAAAGAAGTTTCTGAATAACGTGAGCTTAAAACCTCATCGTTTATAAATCTACTGCATGTCAATTTGTTGAAGGAGAGGTCGCAACACGGTTTTATTAAGCTACGCGCCAGATATGACTAAGTACTACGTACTGTACTAGTAGATAGTATAACTGTAAAAAGTCATGTAAAACTAATTAAAACTACATCTAGATATATACATTAATTCTTAAGGTTTTCTACAACAAGTTAACATAACTTTGTACGTAATGTATAACATAATTTTTACCTATTAATTACATTCTTTTAAGATTTCCAACCTGGTTTTTCCAAACGAATTGGCTATATCTTAACACTTCAGTGAACACAATGGCACAGTCTAAACGCTCACAATAATTATAGAGAAAGAGCGAAACACGGACGATATAAATAACAGATGGTTTATTCGGCGATGGTAGCTTGATAATAATTGGATATAATGACACGTGTTTTAATTAACAATTAAAATACGTAATAATGGATATCTGATAAATTTAGTTAATAGTGCTTTGAAGGAATTTAAAAAAAAGATTGAATTTTATGTCACTTTTACGTTAAATATTTTATTACCCTTCCAGATTTTTTCCGCCTTTTTGATTGGATATTGATCACCCGAAAGAAATTGATATAACCGAGCCAGACGGGTAATATACACACTAAATTTCCCCGTTTGTACCCAACGTTGTAAACAACATGCGCTGAGGTGATGCGCGTACGGTTCGATTTTACGCGGTGTAAATTCCGATTTAAAAGCACTTTTTAACTGTCAAATGATCAATATTTACCCAAGTAGAGTAATGATACATATTACCATCAGTATCGAAAACAAATATGATCTTGTGAAAGCTTGATATTAATTACAAAAAGTGCGTTCAATAGACTACTCCTTTTCTCTTGTTTACTTTCGTAAGGTACGGGAAAAATACGTCATGTATTTATGTGACGTCATGTTATGACGAAGAGGTATCCTAAAGGGAATCTTATTTCGACGTTTCATTTGAAACAGCAATGATTTTTTTTTAAAAAATCGTCTAAACTCGGCAGGGGAAGGGTAATAAAATTATTATTTTGGTTTTGGACTGATATATGTGGATATATTACCTGCCAAGATAAAATATCACCCTCGCCTAACGGCTCGGATGATATAAAATCTTAACAGGTAATATATCCACATATATCACTCCAAAACCAAAATAACATATAATATATAGAGGATATTCAAGTTTTTTCTATAAATACATGATTTATTTTCAACGAGTGGTATGAAAATAAATATTTCATGAGTGGCGGTAGCCACGAGTGAAATATGGTAATTTTCATGCCACAAGATGAAAATAAATCATGTATTTATAGAAAAAACCTGAATTTTCTGTTTATTATATACATTTTTCTCTTTTTTGCGATAAAATTTGAAAGACTTTCCCTTAAATTTTGTGTACTGGAAGAATTTAAAAGAAAGTAGTCCGGCAAGACACCAGTGAAAATACGGAAAATATGTTTCACTGCAGTGAAAAATAAATTTTTATAGTGAAAATACGGAAAATGAAAATACGCATTTTATTTCATCAATATTTCTCAATATTTCATTTATAAGTATATAATAAAAATATTTATTACCCTTCCAGATTTTTTTCCGCCTTTTTGATTGGATATTGATCACCCGAAAGAAATTGATATTACCGAGCCAGACGGGTAATATACACACTAAATTTCCCCGTTGGGTACCCCACGTTGTAAACAACATGCGCTGTGGCGTTGCGCGTACGGTTTGATTTTACGCGATGTAATTTCCGATTTACAAGCACTTTTTAACTGTCAAATGATAAATATTTACCAAAATAGAGTAATGAAACATATTCTCATAAGTATTGAAAACAAATATGACTTTGAAAGCTTGATATTAATTCCAAACAAGTGCGTTCAACAAACTACTCCTTTTCTCTTGTTTACATTCGTTAGGTTCGAAAGAAAATACGTCATGTATTTATGTGACGTCATGTAGTCATAAAGGGGTACCTTAAAGGGAATCTAATGACGTTTCATTTAAAGTAGCAATGATTTATTTTAAAATCGTCTTAACTCGGCAGGGGAAAGGTAATAAAATTATTTTTTTTGGTTTTGGAGTGATATATGTGGATATATTACCTGCCAAGATAAAATATCACCCTCGCCTGACGGCTCGGGTGATATGAAATCTTGACAGGTAATATATCCACATATATCACTCCGAAACCAAAATAACATAATATATACGTATTTATTACCATTCCAGATTTTGTCCGCCTTTTTGATTGGATATTGATCACCCGAAAGAAATTGATATTACCGAGCCGGACGGGTAATATACACTTTAAATTTCCCCGATGGGTACCCCACGTTGTAAACAACATGCGCCATGCGATGCGCGTACGGTTTGATTTTACGCGATATAAATTCCGATTTACAAGTACTTTTAAACTGTCAAATGATAAATATTTACCAAAATAGAGTAATGATACATATTCTCGTCAGTATAAGAAACAAATATGACCTTGTGAAAACTTGATATTAATTCCAAAAAAGTGCGTTCAACAGTCTACTCCTTTTCTCTTGTTTTCATCCGTTATGTTCGAAAGAAAATACGTCATGCAAACTCCCAATCTCCACACAGTGATCTCCCCTTAATTCTTCGGCGTAGATCTCTGCCACCAAGGTCCCAATATATCAGAATTTCTGATATACTATATTTTTACAAAAATTGTTTTATCTACTGCTTTTATCTATCAGATAAGTTTTCTCTCATTTATTTAACAATGTTTATGAATAAATAAATAAATAATATGAATATTTAGAAATAATTAAAAAAAATATGAGATTATTTTCTACCGGACGATATTTTGACATTTTAATATTTTTTAGCTTTTGAATTTATTTTTTCGTTATTTTGTATACTTTCGATAATTTTTTGATAAACTATATCGACGTAGGCACCAAAAGTTAAAAAATAAACAGAAAGAGAAAAATAATGTTAGATTTTTCTTTGTAACGGTCGATATTTACATTTGAATTTCGACGTTACGTCATGTGACTTTCATCATCATGTGACGTCTTTGAAGGCAGTGATTACAATTCTGCCAAGGGAGGTAATCACTGTGAGGAGTTTGGCAAACTCCTCACAGTGATTACCTCCCTTGGCAGAATTCTACGCCGAAGAATTAAGGGGAGATCACTGTGTGGAGATTGGTATTTATGTGACGTCATGTTATGGTGAAGGGGTATCCTAAAGGGAATCTTATTTCGACGTTTCATTTGAAGTAGCAATGATTTATTTTAAAATCGTCTTAACTCGGCACGGGAAGGGTAATAAAAATATTATTTTGGTTTTGGAGTGATATATGTGGATATATTACCTGCCAAGATAAAATATCACCCTCGCCTAACGGCTCGGGTGATATAAATCTTGACAGGTAATATATCCACATATATCACTCCAAAACCAAAATAACATATAATACAGACGAAAAACGGCTGTACATAGATTTAGCATATCGTAGCACGAATATACACATATAAATGTAACATACCACAATTTTCTAATTTATTATGCTCCCCGAAAGATTTCGGGGGAGCATAATTATAGTCGGCGCCTTGTCCGTCTGTCGGTCCGTCTGTCCGTTGTCTTGTCCGGATCATAACTTGAAAACCCTTGGAGATAATGTGTTTAAACTTCATACAGTGGTAGAGGGCATTGAGGGGGAGTGCAGTGTTAAAGAACCATAACTCTATTTTGCCCGGTTTTTGAATTATCTCCCCTTATAGAAAAATCTTGTCCAAAACTATAAGAGATATCAACATGAAACTTTGTAGGTGAATAGATCTCAATGGGTAGATGTGCAGTGCATAAGAACAATACCTCTTTTTGTCCTAACTTTGGAGTTATTGCCCTTTGTTAATTTTAACACTTTGAACTTTGTCCGGGACATAACTCTTAAACTATAAGAGATATCAAGATGAAACATTGTAGGTAGATAGATCTCATTGAGTAGAAATGCAGTGCAAAAAACCACAACTCTGTTAAGCCTCATTTTTTAATTATCTCCCCTTTTAGAAAAATCTTGTCCAGGACATACTAGTAGCTGTAAAACTATAAGAGATATCAACATGAAACTTTGTAGGTAGATATATCTCTGCAGTGCACAAGAATCATTACTCTGCCTAGCCTAATTCTGGAGTTATTGCCCTTCGTTTATTTTACTTTCTGAAGTTGTCCGGGACATAACTCGGAAACCATAAGAGATATCAACAAGAAACTTTGTAGGTTGATAGATCACATTGATTAGAAGTGCAGTGCAAAGAACAGTAACTCTGCCTTGCCTAATTTTGGAATTATTGCAATTTGAACTTTTTCCAGGGACATAACTCTGAAACTACAAGAGGTGTACTTTCCTGTGTCCAAAACCTATTCGGGGAGTATCACCCGGCTCAAACCGGGCTCTTGTTTACATTGATATTTTATATGATAATTCATGTTTGTTACTCCATTATCCTTCAAAAAATAACTTTCTTCGTATAAATATTGCAATAAATGGTAAAGGTAGTTAGACTTTTTACGTCATCATTTAAAACTATTCTTACGTGCATATATAGGACACCCGCGGACGATAAAGAAAGTAAACGGACAAAAAAAGCATAAGTAAAATAACACTGGCGATACAGTTGTAAAAAGTCTATTAGAAACGAAGCATAATTAAATACTTACATTTATATTTACATTTTATTTTGCTGAACAAACATATATGTCTTGTAAAAACGTCTATAATGCCTCATCAGAGGGTCATTATAGAAATATCCTGTCTACACGTTAAAATCCCAACATTTGAGAGACATGTAATATATATCTTGTCTATATGTTAAAATCCCAACACTTGAGAGACATAATACGTATATCTTGTTTATATGTTGAAATCCCAACACTTGAGGGACAATATAGAAATATCATGTCTAGACGTTAAATTCCCAACACTTGAGAGATATAATACATATATCTTGTTTATATGTTGAAATCCCAACATTTGAGAGCCATAATACATATATCATGTCTATATGTTGAAATTTCAACATTTGAGACTCATTTTATTCATATATCTAGTTTACATGTTAAAATCCCCACAATTGAGGGTCATTATAGAAATATATTGTTTAGACGTTAAAATCCCAACACTTGAGAGACATAATACATATAACTTGTCTTTTTGTTGAAATCCAACCACTTGAGGGTCATTGTAGAAATAGTCAAAACGGTGTGTGAAATTAATATGATATGTTATTTAATTTTACCCATGA